GGTCTTAACTTTGCAGTGTCAGCGTAGTGCAGTGGAATGAGTGTCTCTATGAGCCACAACTGATCGAACGCACCAAGGATGTGTGCGGTGGCCCCGTGGATGTCGTTATTGATTTCGGCACAACTTCACGCAGTTTACATCGATCGATGCATTGTCTGACTAAGGTAATTAAGTAATTAAAGTTAAGTTTTTTTTTTTGTTATGAGTACTACAAAGACATTACTTCAAATAAATACTTTACACGTACATTACTTGAATGAAACAGATATTCATTTTAATTCTGCTTTAAGGGTGGTGTCGTACTCATAAGCGAAGATGTCGCTGAGAAACTAATGCCCAAATTTTCGCGCCTGGCCACTGAATACCAGCAGGAGATTATACCCATATCAAACGGCACAGTGGAGCAGCTGCACGAGCTCGTTCAATTAGTTGCCAGCAAAACGGTAAGCAAATAATTGATAATTTACTCATTTACTCAACCAAAAAGAAAATATATCAAACTATGTAGATTATACATTCTCTAAGTTCACTAGTAGTAGTTGTTGTTGTAACAGCATACAACTTTCCCCAGAGAGTTTTTAGGGAAGGATACTAGATATGGCGGTATGGATCTGGGTCGTTTCGGTCGCGTAGACCCGGCTGTCGTGGGAAGTTCAGTCGATGGCGTTAATTAATAAATTATAATTGGTTTTATTTTTACCTGTACACATATTTAGAAAGAAAACTCTATTCGCTTTTGGTTTTGGTTTCTTTACCTACAAATCGATTAATTTGTTAAGGCAAACATGAAATGCAGAGTTTGCTTGACAAACGACTATTGTCCATATGACCGACTGCTGTACAGATGAGGATGAGATATAATCAATTCAGCACTTCATATTCGAGTGTCCCATACTCCAAAGAACTCGCCTCAAATTTGCGAGAACTTTCAGCACTTATCACAAAACCTCGTTCAGTCGTAATGAAATGCAACCATTACCCTAAAGCGTGTTTGTCTTCTTGCAGCAACGACAATGCATTTTAGAAGAAGTTGCAGTGGAATATCTGCTCCGAGCAACGACAGAAGTCGTCTGAGCTAATTCCTAGGCCTTGCTTGTAGGCTCGCAGCCTGCAATAGCATGTCAGTATAGCGCTCATAAGTGTTAAACTTGTATTTAGTAGAGTGATTCCTAAACCTTTTGGAGTTGTAACTTCCTATAGTTTTGCGGTATTCTGTAGCCTGGTGAATTCCCCCAATTTTCTCGTCTAAGACGCCGCTCCTGTTCTCTTTAATATTCGCTAATAGTATGTGGTCATATAGCAAAGACATCAATTTTACTGTTTTGTATTCCTCTGAATTTTTCTACACATTCTCTTCTATAAGATACAGCTTTTACTGCAGCCAGACTGCTTTGCAAATGGCAATGTGTTGACCTATTATATGCATGTCTCTGCAGGTTTACGTCAACAAAAAAACTTCTATTTGGAAGATGCTAAAAATGTTTCCCTTAATTATGCCATCTCTATTAAACTGGTAAATGGGAATTTTGGCTTTGATTTTCTGATCAGCCTGCTTGAGACCAGCACGTCTTTTCTTATGCCATCTCCCATGCATTTTAAAAGGGCTTACTTTTAGGTCTATTCTAGGACTATGTAAAGTGGTGTGAGGTTCGGCCTGGTTTCGATTTGGGGTTTCGGACAATCTGTTTTTGATTTAGAGCTTAAATAATATTTAGATACATTCATAGTTAATTACCATTGTTTAATTAGAATTTGCTTTTCATAAACAGATCGAACCAATACCGCATTCGGTATTCCCCTGCGAGCAAGCAACAGAAGTCGTGCAGAAATTATGTAATTCCGAAATACCCGGTCGTGCCATATTAAAGTTTCACGATATCGAATAAATCATCTTCAATCAGGAATGCATCGACTACAAGGATGAGTTCATCTTTCCTTCACATCATCCCCAGTCGCCCAGTTAAATTCTGCTGTATCACAGATTAATTATTTATTACTTAACTAACCAAAACAATTTGTATGTATATTTAGTCCGAAAAGTATAAAGTTTTAGATGTAAAATCAACAAAAAATTTATATGCGATAAAACTAGAAGAGAGTATGCATCATTTTGGTCGTCCGCACAAATACTTATGAGTACTTTGTGCATTTAAAATGTGGAAGAAAACCAAAAAAAATTATGTATTTAAATGCACTGAAATTAAGTATGTTATTAGTTGTTTTTGTTAGAAGAAAAACAAAACGATTATTACTTTTAATATTAAAATTTTTAAATTACGCTTTGGACGACCGATGCAGTACATATGTATGTATATGTGCATATAGATGTACATATGTACGTACATACATGTACATATATACATATGTTAACATACGATTATAATTATTCATCAACAGCATTACATACAGGGCTGCAAACCACTCCAAAAATCGGTGCGGTTCGGTTCAGTGGCTCGAACCACTTACGAAAAAGCTTGTACCGGAACAAGAACCGGTTCACGAGTATCCCTAACGGCGGTTCGGTTCGGTTCAAGTGGTTCAATTTCTTTATGCTAAAGTATATAAATTTAACAAAAATATGACAAATTCATAATATAAAAATTAAGGGGTGAGATCAAATTTAAATATCCACATGTACTATAGTGGCGAAAAAATAAGGACGCGATATTTTATCAAGTATTACCTATTTTTCATTTCATTATTTATTGTTTATTTTTTGAGCATAATTACGAATAGTCTACACGGTTTTCATCTAAATTGCAAACTTCAATTTTTCATAGATTTTTTCATGTATGTTGGATAAATTTTTTCTATGGAAGAAAACAAAAAAAAATATATATTTAAAATCAACAAAGTGGTTAGCCTAGTCGAGTATGTAGATTAATAAAACAGCACTCAGAATTTTTAATTGACCCTCAATATCTTGGCTTAATGTTGAAAACCTCAATTTCGTTAGGCTGGAACTTATACTTGGCCTTGACTTCATATGTACAATAGCGTGGGCCGAAAATCCGTTTTTTTTTTTAATTTTGGTTGTGTGAACGATGAAAATTTGTGGTCAATATTTTAGGCTCGCCCAAGTCCACCAGAGTTCAAGTGCTAAAAAATAATTTTCTTAGCTTACCTCGATTCTCTACCAAAAAAGTACATATATATATAAATTATGTAGGACTAATACTTTCAGTATCTTCGAAGTATTAATAAAAAAATAATAATTAATCAATATATTTATTAATTTTTATTTTTTGAGAACATTGCACTTTGATGGACTTGGGCGAGCCTAAGATATTGACCAAAAATTGTCATCTTTCACAAGATTGTCTTTAGAGCCATATTTTTGCTATTACAAATCAAATTTGAAAAAAGCGGATTTTCGGCTCACGATAATGTACAAGTATGGTCAAAATAATTTTAGTGCGGCATTTGTCTATTTTTCTTTTGTTGGTTTAATGTTCATCAATTTTTTATAAAATATAGCTCGTTATATAACAACAAGCATATAAATCCAAATTGCAAACTTTGTACGAAAATTTGAAAAAATCTACAAATTTCAACAAAATTGCATTAAAGATTCAAACTTTTTAATCCAAACGAAAAAAATCCGAGTTTTAGAATTTTTTATTTAACTAAGCATTAGATAAGCATTTTCTTCTATACAAAAAATAGATCAAGCATTATTTATATGGACGAAATTACAACTCACGGAGGTGCCATCAAACAAAAAAATGTTTGAAGTTTTACTATACGGGTTACACTTTTAGACCAAGTGGTGTATTACAAAACTTGAAAAATGCTTTAGTGGACTTTCATTTTGAACCGAACCGAACCATTTTTTGGAGTGGTTTTCGGTTCGGTTTTGGCATTTCAAAATAAAAATGGTTCGGTTCATGCTTCGGTTCGAGGCCCGAAAAAAGCGACGGTTCGGTTCAAAACCGGTTTGCAGCCCTGATTTCATACGCAATCCTTATTACGCATAAGCATACATACATTTATACATACCTACAGCATGGTAATTCGCATTCATGCCAATAGTGGATATACTCCCAACTGACGACAAAACTCAAAACTATGTATTCACGGTTGTGTGAGAATATAAATAATCAAAGGACAAGTTTTATCTAACTTATTCGTAATGTACTGTAATTTAAAATATCTTTGTAATAATCGTAAAAAACATCGATCCTAGCGAATTGAATGAGTTTAGAAGATTACTCAAGAGCCAGTGGCATGAATGCCCGCACACATTTGCATGTACATACATATGTATGTGAGGTTAAAGTTAAAAACACAAGTCAACACGTTTTTAGGAGTACTCATACACACCAGTACACAGATTTGTCTTCAGTTTAAATATTTTTTGATCTACCTTATTGGACTAGTTGCACTTACAGATGCACTATTATATGTTCATACATACAAACATTTATACAAACATATTCATATATATTCGCAGTGTAAGAGCCCTTAGGTTTTAAGTTAGTTGCAATACTTTGCTTTCGGTAGTGATGGTTTAGTTATTGTTTTAAGCGCAACAACAAAATTTTAGTATAGTTTTGGAACCCCTGACTTCAACATTGTGATTAAAAATATTTTTGTATTTTATTTTACATTTTATTTTTATTTAATTTATCATGTATGTAGTATAAATATTTTGTTTGTAAACATCACTTCACCAAAATGTATTAGTATTTGAATTGGAAATTATTGTTTAGTTATAATTTAAATCTTAGTTTACGAATACTTATTTATGTGTAATGATTTTTATAATTATTATTTCTGTAAATACATACTTTCGTATACTACTTACAAATTTATATTAACGGATTTATACTTATAATTTTTAACTAATATTTTATTCTCAGTGTATCAAAAATAATGAACAAATATAAAAGAAAATAAAAAACAAATATCTTTGTAGATGTTCAATAATAATTTATGTATTATTAATTGTTACTTCTATTATTGTAATGCAATGTATGCGTACAAAAATGCTATTTGTACTCTTAAAATTTAAAAAATACTTCAAGTTATCTATCAACTCGCACAGTTATTTGTCATAAATGGCGGCAATTTGTGCAGTGTGGTACACGAAATTAAGAAAAATTTATTAAATAAAGTAAAAAACAGAAAATGTTACAAACGGTTTTCTTTTTTTCTCGAAAGAATACTTCCACTCTCCTATTTAGAAGAGAATGCCAACTGAATCGATATAGACGGTGTTGCTTTTTTAATAGTCAGATTATAATAACAAGGATATCCAGCTTTAATAGAACGCCAAAACGAAAAATCTTCGAATCAAGCAAAGAAGTAGCGAGCTGAAATGTGCCTTGTTCGTACATATGTATATCTACTTGAAATATCGAAGTAAAACATTTAGGAAAGTCAAGTAGTGCTCTTCGAGTGATTCTTTTGGTAGTGGTTGGTCTCCGAAATCGGCACCCACAGGTAGCGAGGCTTGTTATTAGAGATCAATGCGCTGTATTTTTTTGTAGTTTGTCCAATATCAATTACTACATAAATTTGACTACAATCAAGAACTCTCATCATTCACTTACCGTTTGCATTTTCATCTTCTCCCTCCTCCTCTTCAATAAATACATTTGTAGAAATTACTTGCTGCTTAAAAGTTTTATGTTTTCGCTTTTTATGTGAGCTCAAACCGGAAATCAATCGAAAGCGTTCACCACAAACTTTGCATTCATAGCGCTTAACATCTGAATGCAGTAGCTTATGACGGAAGAGGCCATGCATATTTGTAAACCCTTTGCCACAAATATTACAAATTTTATCACGTATATTTAAATGTGTACGTATGTGATCGTCTAACTGACGTTTTCGCAAAAAATCTTTAGGGCACATAGTGCACTTAAATCTTCGCAAACGTTCGTGCATAATCTTTACATGCTCTGTCATTTGGTGCTTAAGGCGAAAACCCTTGCCACAATGTTCACAAATACTTTTTCGCTCTCCGGTATGTACCATTTGGTGCATTTCCATGTCACGACGATTGGCAAATCCTTTCGCACAGTAGGGACAAAACCATTCGAATTCTTTTGTATGAGCGCGTATTTGATGCTCCCTTTTTATACTTCGTTGTGCAAAACGTTGTTCACAATAATCACATTTGTGTGGTAGCTCACCAATATTGTGCACTTTTAGCAAATGTGTCTGCAACGTGGCATTGCTGCGTAATATACGCTCGCATATATGGCATTGTAAATTGTAGTCGGATTGTGGCAGAAAATTACAACGTGCTATGAAATCCTGCTCGTCTTTTGTTAGTGATTCATTTAGGATCTTCTTTTGCTGCAAGTTATAAAAGTGCTGCTTCAGCCGAGAGATAGCGTAATAAAGCTCATCATGGCTGAATTCGACATTGTATATATGTTGTAAATTCGCGGCGATTTCTTCATAAGCTTTTTTGCGAATATTTAACACTGAATAATTAGGGTGAGATTTGTCCCACAGTACAGGGTGCATGGCACAGAAGTCGATAAACCCAAGTGTAAATTCATCACTTACGGAAAATGAGATTTTCTGTAAATTCAACAGGAAAATTTTAGCCAAAAACATTGCGTAACATAAGTACATACACATATTGGTATTAAAGCAAGTTTTACTCAGTGTGAATTACTCACCTTATAGCCGTTACTACGTATTAGATGCATATTGTCCAATTCCGCATCTGCTAAAAACTTGCAGCGTTCGTAATAATATTTACGAATTGTATTTAAATCTCGGCATGAATAATAGCATCTTTTGTAAAAAATGTATAATCGTTTAATGTCACTGTTGATTTTTCCTTCCGTAAGCTGCAAACTATAGTTATTCAAAAAGAAGTCTTTTATTTTGATGATCGCTTGCCGGCGCTCCTTAAAGTCATTATAAGCTGGGTCATGTGGATTCCATAAACAAGGCTGATCGCGAAAGCATTGAATGAAATCACGTGTAATATTATTTCGGGTAGAAAACTTCACAACAGACTGCTGCAAAGGAAAGAACAAAATCTGCATACATGGCAAAACAAAACATCAAAATTACTAAGCGGTAGCCCTGGGAAGCGTGCAGCCTCGATGGGGTCTGTCCATAGGGACAGGGGCGTCAGTAGGGTGGGGTTCAGTGCGCATGCGAAGAGATGCTGTGAGTCATGGGGCGCCTCTCCGCATGCCGGGCATTCGTTTAGAGCATCCTCATTTATTCTGCTCAGGTATGAGTTCAACCTGCTACAGTAACCAGAGCGTAATTGGGCTATTGTGGTCCGAGTCTTCCGGAAAAGACGAAGTTCTATCTCGTCCACGTCTGGTGGTTGTGAGCCCAGAACGCCATTCACATGTCGCGAGTCTACATAACTCGAGACTGTCTCTCTGTGAATGCCGTGCAAGGCCTGTCGATAAGCTGTCGGGTCCAGAGGTTTTTTGATGAACCTCTGGACTTCGGCCGTCAGTTCGTAGAGATGCCTCCTGACGTGCCTGGGCGAGGGCTCTTCTGCAAGCAGTTGTCTATTTGGGTGACAACGTCTGCGGTCCCAACTAGAAACTGCTTGCAGACCATTGTTTTGCTCCTTAACGGGGAACATATGGGCCTCGTCGTGCAGGTGATGTTGCGGCGACATCAAAAGGCATCCTGTCGCTCTTCTGAGTGCCGTGTTTTGGCAAGTTTGCAGCTTTATCCACTGCGTCCTACTAGTCCCGGAGACCACACAAGGGCTGCATAGTTCAGAACCGGCCGTACGTTGCCAGCAACGTGGTTTTGTCTTTGCTCCAGGTGCTGCCGGCTAGCGACTTGAGGACCTTGTTGTGGCTTTTGTACTTTTTTGACAATTGCGGTTGTATGCGCGTAGAAGTAGAGCAAACTGTCGAAGGTTACTCCGCGGATCTTCGAGTTGTTCACCGTCAGCATTGGTTCGTCATCGACGTGAATTCCTAGTTATAGTCTGACCTAGGGGAGAGGGTTAGGCTCCGTGCAGTGCAGAAGCGAAAAAGCTCGGCGAGATAACCGTTTACTTTCGAGCATAGGTCATCAATTCCATTCCGAGACGCCATGATTGAACAATCGTCAAGCATAAGGGACAATGGAGACTCCCTCTGGTGGCGGAGGGAACTTTGAAATGTAAAAGTTAAACAGTAATGGGGAAAGGACACCACCTTGTGGAACCCTCTGTTTTATTTTCCTAGGCTTGCTCGATTTGTCTCTAAAAGCTACTGACGAGTGACGACCACTCAGTTAATTCGCCGACCACCGTTTGGGTCCCTGTGGGAGAGAGGAGGCCTCTATGTATTCTAGAAGCGTTGAATGACTGACAGTGTCGAACGCCTTAGACAGGTTCAGCGCTACTAGAATGGTTCTCTCACAGGGGCGGTTTCGGTTAAGGCCAGGAGTTATCTGGGTATTTACGGCGCTAAGTGCTGTTGTTGTGCTGTGGACTTTACGGAACCCATGCTGATGCCTCGCTTGGGTCAGGTGGTTTGTATAGTGCGGGAGTAGAGGGGCCTCTGGTGTCTTCGCTACCGGAGAAAGGAGAATTAAACCGGCGATAGGACTCTCCTTTGTTGGACAGTTTCCCCGGTTTAAGCAGTGGGACCACTCTCCCCATTTTCCAGATGTCTGGAATGATGGGAATGAGAGGTTGAGGACATTGGTTAAATAATCCACTCCCGCGGGACCCAAATTTTTCAACATTAACATGCAAATTCCGTCGGGTCGGTGGCTTTGGAGGCTTTCGCCTACCTTTACGCTGCCCATAATCCTGGTGGGTGCATCGCCCTTCATTGTGCAGAATGTCGAATCGTCTATCTGCTCAGCGAATTGTGTTCCCATACAATCGTTTGACAGGCTTGACTGCCAAGATCGCGGTGCGCATTAAAGTCATCAACTACCATCACCTCGGAGGAGCGCACCTATTTCAGGGTAATATCCTGCCGGGCAGCTAGTGACAGGGGGTAAATATACGTTAAATATTTCGAGCTCGAAATCGCCTGACCGGACAGCAATATCCTGACATTCTAAGATAGTATCTCTGCGGTCGATGTTTGCTTCGATAAGACGTTACTGCACGGTGGTGCGCGATGAACGCTAGGCCACCACCATTATCTCGCTCGCGATCTCGACGGTGCACGTTGTATCCAACGCAATTCAACAATGTTGAATTGCCATGCAGCTTCGTCTCTTGGACCGCAGCTAATAATATTCCGTGCCGGCCCATAAAAACTGTTATCACCTCGATATTTCTCTGAATTATAGTTAAATTGTAAAATCTTCGTGTGCCTAGTGAGACTTATTGGAATGTGAGGCGTTGCCGGACCGCCACATGCTGTGCTTGCTGCTGCAAACACTGTTGCCCTGTGGTGTTAGTGCGCGGCGTCGCAGTTGGTATTTGCAACCAAGCAGCACAGCATGGGCCCTCGTAGTCCCCTTCTAAACTCGCTTGATGCGCAATCTCTTGAGTATGCCCTAAAGTGACACCAGCCGTGGCAAGTGTTGCACTTGACCGACGTCACATAACGGAACATCCTGGACAGACACACCGTGCAGATTGTCGGAGGAACTAGGAGTTGTTTCCGGCGTCGTTGGGTGGTAGTGCGGTTGTATCGGTGTTGTGGTCTGGTGTGTCAGTGGTGTTGTCTATTGTATTGTGGTTGTTGTTGTTGTAGCAGCATACAAGTGTGGGAGTGTTGCTGGAGTAGCGGCATTGTATTGTGTTGTGGTGCGGTTGTGTTTGTGTTGAGTTGCTCAGGCGGAATCCGTTGTACCGTGGAGGAAGCAAGGGGCCACATATGCGTTGGTCTACTGCATGTGAGTCGTAAGGCCTGAGCAAACTCCGAGGTGGATCCACCGTATAGGTTTCTGGTCCAGCGTTCGACTCAATGCCAGCCCTGAGCAGAAGTATGCGACGAAGATGTAGCCCTATGGACGTACAACTTTTGAGGGATTGCACCGACCTAAACGGGGTTACATCGCCGAAACAACAGCCCTTGGTCGGCTTAAACCCGAATCATTCCGGTAAGTAGAACGGGCTGTCGTGGGAAAGTTTGTTCGTTAGTTTTGTTCATAACTTACGGTTTGGCGTTTATCTTGAAGCGTATCTATGCCATCATCTGATAAGTCACATCCACTTTGCGTGTCATAGTTATATTCTTTTTCATTTGATGACTTGAAATAAAATTAAAACAAATCAAATGACTTACTAAAACCGGCTACAAAAACATTTACCTCATTTTCACTTTGGCCAACGAAAGAACTTTCGCTTTCCGTCTCCGTAATGGGACCTTGTTCGAGCACCGATTTTGCGTAGGATTCTAGAAACGAGCATGCTTTTAAGTAGTTTTCTTCAATAGCCGAAATTTCGATTCCTTCCTCCAACCTTCTAGCTATGTCAATATATTGACGGCGAAGTTCAGAAAGAGACTCTTCTAAATTAGATGTAGAAATTAGCATATTTTGCTCGGCAAACGCTCTTAATATATCCTTTTTTGCAAGACATTGTTTTCTATTGGTATTATTACCAAAATTTTTCATTGACCAAAGAGTGGGAAAGAATTGGTATATTTCAATGAATTTGTGCGTTGCTACATTTTCAACTTTCAAATCTATATTAATCTGAAATCATAGTTGAGATTTACGAAGCTAATGTTTTTATTTGCTTTTATACTTGAACTCATCTCACCTCTTGTGTAAAAGATTCTGGAGATATAGGATTTTGGTTCATGTTAAAATGTAAATCGCCCTGTGAATCATTCATATCTTCTTCGTAAATAGATTTGTTTAATGAGTTTTCAATATCAGAATGTACAACGAGTACGTTCTCCGCACTCTCGGCATTGACATCTTCATCCGCTTGACTTTCCTCGGATATATCTTCCGATTCATTAACCTTTTTATTCAACTCACTCTGGTTCGGGGAAATCCTTCTATCATTCGTTTCCATATCTACGTCGACACAATGCGTATGACAATCCACCGTTGTCAGTCTTTTACTTTCAACCTGTGGTTCCAATGCATCCTCAGGATATTCAACAAGCCATTGTGTTTCATCTTCAACACCCATATGAAGCTCCCTTAAATGCTGCAGAAATGTTGCCCATTGACCATAATTTTTGTCACAATAAAGGCATTTCAATGCAAAATATTTATACTGGCTAGTGGCCAAGACATAACCACATGGTCTAAGGTCTGACAAAATGGAAGCAGCATTGCTCATTATTATTAACTATGTATGCCCTCGGTCGTCGGTCACAATTAAACTATTGATCACTTATGATGTACAAAACGTATACCAAGGCGAATTTATACATATACTTATTTATGTTTTTATTTATTATTTATTTATATCGCTTCGCCTCGAAATATACGAAAAATACATTTTATACCAAGGCGAATTTATAGGTGCGTTCGTTTAAAATCTCCAACAGAAACCAACCAACTGCCAAATTCCGGCGAAATGTCATCTGTTCGCTCACAAGAGAGAAATATCCAAAATAGTACGCGAACAGAAAATTTGCAGAAACTTGCAAGTTAGACGAACAGCTGATATAATTTTTGTTTACATTCAAAAGTGTAAAATTTAAAACGTACGAAAAGTCATCGCAAAGTGTTATACTGACACAGTTTATTGATTAAACAAATAACTACTTATTTCTTACAAGTTTAATTAGTCGCATTTTGTAATTTTTAACTTCCAAACCATCAAATTCAATTTTGTGATTTGCGTAAATGCCAACCAGCTGTTTTTGATCAGCTGTTTTCCTGTTGGCAAATTGCTGTTGGCAAAAATTTTTCCAGCAGAAACCAGCAGCTTCCCCTCAAAATGAAATGTCACTTTGCTCTCTCAATTTCCCCTACTTTGCAAGTTTTTTGCGTACGCGAACGCAAAAACTTGTAAGTTTTGGTTAAACATGAACAATTAACAGCTACGCGAACGAACCTTATATAAGGTGGTGTTACTAGCTCAGCTGATTTTAGGTTTGTATAGTAACCAATAGTCAGTACTAATTTGTACTGGAACCTGCAAATTTTTACTGGAAAAGTGTATGATAACCCAAAAAATTTGCAGGAGAGCAACAAATCGAGAGCGCAACAACACGGGAGAGCTGCAAATTCTTGCTAGTGAAATTTCTACTAGCAGAAATTAGCTAGCAGAAGAAGAAGAAGAATAAATGTCAAAAGCCGCCATTTGTTGAATTGGTTTAGCACAAACAAAAGTAAAATAAGTGAAAATTGAAATATTAATGATGTACTAGACTGTGTAAGTGCTTGTGTGAAAAGCAAAGAGTTTAAAACCGATTTATAAATAGTAAAATGTTTACAGCAGAATATCAAAAGGGTGCAACAACTATTCACTTGCAAGTTTTTACTAGTTTTGCGTTCAGTAACTTTTTCTGCTAGTTTTCCAAAATCTGCTGAGCTAGTAACACCACCTTATATAATTCGCCTTGGTGGTGTTGATGGCGAATTTAGATTTTCGCCGAGGTATCCAAGGCGAATTTATACAAGGTGGGTTGATGGCGAATTAAATTTTCGCCCGGTACTACTAAATGTCAAAATGATGTGTTTGTTGTAAACAAGGCGAATTCATTTTACAACAAACACATCATTTTGACATTAAGACGTACCTCGGCGAAATCTAAATTCGCCATCAACACCACCTTGTATAAATTCGCCTTTGTCAAAATTATGTGTTTGTTGTAAAATGAATTCGCCCGTGCCCTTTTCCCTTCCTCGTCCCTCCCTCTCCCACAAGTAACGAGTTGCCGCGATAAAAGTTTCTCTGTCTGAACCTAGACTAAGGGTTGAATTTTGCTGAAATTTATACATTTATCCACAAAACTTGTTTGGTGAAGTGATAAACTTTGGTCAAATAGATTTCCATACAGAGTTTGACAGTTCACTTATCAAAATGGTAAATTTATATTTATATTTATTTATTTATATTTATTTAAGAGTTTATCACTTTTGATTTATTAATTCATGAACAAACCATGAACGAAAGACACAAGATCACGCCTTAAGGAAAGAAAAAAAAAGTTATTTTCTAGCTGTTGAAATCTCGACGCCATCTTTGTTG